TATATATAAATATTATTAAGTTTTATATTTTCTATATGCAAATGCTCTCCCAAAAGCTCTATATGAGAGCATTGAGCAAAGAGCATTTGGAGAGCATTTGCATTTGGTAAATGCTTTTCTAAATGCTTCTTTGCCAAATGTTGATTGGATAATAGAGAGCATAATGCTTATGCTAATGCTCTACCAATCAACCCCTAAGATTATACGGACCGAATTAGAATCCCAATTACGTAACAGCCAAGTCAATGATGATCTCGAAAACTCTTAAAACAAATAGAGTCGACCAAGATCTTTTTTTGAGAAATAACATACTAGGATTATATGACATAACGTAGAGCGAGCAGATTTACTTGGTATACTACCACGAAAGAGTTCATTTCTTAGGGCACAAACATAAGAGAATAAAAAACACACAAACAGGTAAATAAGAGTACTTTGCTTATTTAACAAGCAACTTAAAACAAAACACACAAACTTCAAACCCTTACTACTTTCTCTGCTGCTACGACTTCATCATTTTAATTCCTTGTGCCACACTCTTTCAGTTCCCATCATCTGATGACTTCAAGTAATTAAGGGTCTCTCCACCATCCCCTGAGCTTCCTCCTCTGCCTTCACCACTTCCCGTTTCCAACTTCCCACGACCAAACTCATGAAACCCACCAGCCTCTCCCTGAAACATTTGGAGACCGCTGCTTCCTCCTCCGCTGCTTGAGCTCATCCCAAGCTGGCTATTGAGCAATTGCTGATGCTGAAGCGTTGCATAAGGCTGCTGCTGCTGAGCATACAACATTGAAGATCGAGCCGCCATTAGAGACTGCTGAGTCATCTGCTGCTGTTGAGTTGCCTGCTGCTGCTGCAAATAGTGTGACCCTCCTTCTCCCTGAATCATCCCACCACCAGCAGATCCATACTGCTATATATATAAACTAACAATACCAATGAGTTTTTCTTTAAATCATTTTGAAGAAACAAATAAAAAATTCCTGGTTTACCTGGCTATGCACGCTTGGAGGTTGAGGCTGAGAATCTGCTATTGCAGCTAAGTACATTAGGTTACGTTGAAGCCTTGCCTGGTTCCTGTAATATTATTTTTACCATATTAGATCATTTCTTATTATACAACAGAACACAAATGAAATCAAAGAGAGTATGTGCTCTTACTCGGCACACTCGCTGAGCTTTCCAGAGTTTTGAGATTCAACTATCTTCAGGATCAACGATTTGTTCTCGTCCAAGTACTACATATTCAAAATATTATACATTATCATTAGAGAGTAATGGTACAAACAGAACCGGTTAAAAACATTTGATCTTTTATTTGTTGGCATAAAGACATATAAAACTCAAAGAGACCCCAGTACTTTAGATTCCGACTTATCAAAAGACAAACGTTGAAACAATCACAAAAGTGTATGAAAGATTTTCTTTAGAAAAAGATTTGTGGACCACGAAAGGTTTAGATTAGGACCAGATGTCAGTCGGACCACAAAGTTTATCTGGTCATGCAAGCAAAATAAGGAACACTTGGGACTGCAAATACACTTAGATCCCCTAATGATAACAATCTAAACAGGACCACCACATTCACATAAATGGCTTTGTGGTTTTTGCCATCAATAAACTTCAAGAACCCGGAAACTAAGATAAAAAAAAAAATCTAGAAATGTGAACAATCTTCAGTTCACAAAATGTGTGTGTTTTGACACATTATTTTCATTACATGTTTCAAGAACTTAAAACAGCTGGACCTTTAAACTGTTATTGTTTTTTTTCATAGAAAGAATCTTTAGAAGGACATGCATCTAGGCATCAAAAATTGTTTAATTAATAATTTTCAAGCTTGTCCCGGTTTAGACAAATGATTTCTGTCTAAAGCAGCAAAAAAAAAAATGAAGATGTAAATGATAAACCGAATTTTTCTGGACAAGGAAAAAAACTTGAATCAATGGTAAAAGAAATAGAACCTGATGCACAATACAGAAGATCAGACACTGCTACACCGAGATAATATAAACTAGAAGTAGAACTATCTATATTAACTACATAAAAAACAAGAACAAAAAAAAGCCAATAATCAAAGTCTGAGTTTAGTTTCACCCATGAGAAATAAATATGTTGTAAGAGAGCAAAATAAAAAGGTCTCTCAGGGTTCTTGCAAGAGAGTTTCCATCACTCTCGCTCTTTTTAAAATTCAAAGAAAATAAAGAAAGAGATAATAAATAGTAGTAGAAGGAGGAGAAGAAGAAGAAGAGAAACCTGCTGGATATGATCAGAGGTAACATTGCTGGGGTAGTAACCAGCCATCATGGGCTGCATCTGCATCAGGTGCTGTTGCATATTTCTTTTGCTATTTTATATAAAACCTGATATTATTCTTATTTACTTTTATTTATGTTGCAAAAATGTTTTATAGAGAGAACCCCCACCACTTAATACAAAGAAACAAGTAAAGCCAACCAGAGAGAGATATTACACCTTTTGTATCTTATGTCTCTTTCTCACACACACACACTTCTTCTGTATATAGAAAACTCTTAACTATTGAAGATGTATATCTCTGTGTGTGTGTTATCTCGCTTTCTCTCGTCCACAAAAGTTGTTTTGCGTTAAAAGACTGAGAGAGACAGTGAAGTCTCTTAAATAGAGAGATAGAGAGGGAGAGGTGGGAGAAAGAGAAAGAGTCTTTTTCTCTTTTTCTTGGGTTTTGGGGTTTGGTTTTGTTGGTTTCTCTCTGTCCTCATCCTATCTTTGTCCCTGTGAAGAAGAAGAGGTCACGTGACGAGTCATTCTTATTATAGAGACGTGAGACCTTTACATTCACTCCATAAACATGTGTATCCTTTATTATTTTTTGTATTACTTTGAAGTTTGAACCCTTGGCTAATGGCTACAGTGAACTACCAATGTTAAAAACATATAGTGAGCTTCTTATTTTATGGGAGACCTCCAAACGAGACTATTTACCCTTCGTATATTTATTCACATACGATTTATTTCGCCTTGCATGTCTTGATTTTTCAAAAAAATGTATTTTCTCCAATATATTAAGATACTCTTACACCAGCCCCCAAAAGTAATGTTATTATAACTTATGAATGCAAAAATGTTATTATGAAATAAGGATATGTTGACAATTTCGAATAAGAAAATGTAAATTCATGTTTGTTATGCATACTAAATAAAGACATTATGTTTATCAACATTGTGAATATATACATTCTGATAAATAAATGTACAGAAGTTTGCATTTTTGTATCCAATCATATTTTATGGTCGGTGGGTTACATAATTCATACAATTAGCTGATAAGTTCCTAATTTTATATTAATTAGTATAAAGCGAAACTGAAATAAAATTTGATTTTCATTTAATTTAATTTCTAAAATTCAAAAAAAAAAAAAAGATTTAACAACTAAATTACTCTCTAGTAGATGTTAAATATAAATTAACATCTAATTCGCTGATACCAAAAATGGATCCGAGATATTCCTTCTGCATATATGAACCACGGAGGCTCTACTTTTAATGTTTATCTGTTTAATATTTTAATTAGCACCCAAAACTATAGTATTGCCAATGAACATTAAACTAATCTGTAAGGATAAATGATTTGTTTTGTTTTCCCGATTAATTATGCCTAAAACGAGATAATAACTAGAGCAGTGCTTCCACGCTTACTCTAGTAGATAGCAAAAAGCAAACCAAAACAGAAAAATTGTAAAAGCAAACCAAAATAACTAGAACGGCACTAAAAATGTATTTAATTTAGTATCTAGAGTGGTTTAAATGAAGCGACCACAATGTATATTTGGGTAAAAAATATAGTAAAACCAGCTATTGAATGTCGATCAAAAACTAAATGGTCGAGGGTGATAAACTTGTAAAAGCATGATATAAACTCGTTTTTCTCGTCAGCTTCATTTTCCTCTGGAGTTCTTCTATTCATGTTCCGACCAGTCAAAATAGTATTAAAAATCGGACGAATAAGCTGTGGACTATTACACTTACATCTTGTCCAAGTTAGTCGGGTTTCTGAAAGAAGATATAGAACTGAAACTGATTGTTTTTTATTGTACAAATAATTAACGTGGTAATACCAAAAAGTGTTGTATCAAATATATTTTTGCTCAAACCAAAATAGATTTGTTCATATAATGCCAGCGCAACGGGTGAAACTTTGAACCTACATCAACAGCAAATAAAATCCTTAGGTTTAAAGCGAGCACGAAAAATAAATGAGAAACACACTTTACATATAAACGGCTATAACAACGTAACTCGGATGTGTCAAACATGTGATGTCCACGTATATTTTATGTCTTTTCTCGCCTAAAATTTGACAAGTTTTGTTAATTGTCGGTTTATAAATAACTAATGAGACATGCCTAATGGCAAGTGATAGTACTACTGTGTTTCAGTTTATAATAAAAACCAACAAATCCACCTAATTTTCTTTCATCTTTTCATATACCAAGTTAATATTTCAACTCCTTATGTTCCAAAATATATAAGTTTTACTTTTAAGTTTAAAATTTCCACACATATTAAGAAAAGATATTAAATGTGGATTATTAATAGACTATTTTTGTTATTAACGATTTTTACAACTTTTAACCAGTTGATTTTCAACAAACACAATCATCTTTTATTGAAGATTACATTTACCATTGTTAAATTATTTGTATTTTCTTTATACGACGTGAATATTTTGAAGGGAGTAGTTTTTAGATGTTTTTAGCAAATGTAAGATTCTACATCTGACAAGAAATACATGCTAACGTGCTCTATATTGAATACTGATATCTCTTTTTTGTTAAAACTAATATCTCAAGAATGATATGGACATAAAACTTTTGGATTTCCACCTACCAACAATTTATCCATCTCTTGTTTACAAGAAAGAAACACAATGTATCCATCTCTATTTATGATTCGACCTTCCACCATGATCTTAATTTGATTGTAATATCACTCTCAAATTTTAATTCTTGAGTAGATTAAAGTGATATAATCATGAAATTTAAGTGGAAATAGCTTACCTGTTTTTTTTTATGGCTTAGCTTACCTGCTTTCAAAATTCTTTTAGGTTTCGAGTCTCCAATTGAAGAATAAATTCTTATTTGAGTACTGCATGTTTTCCTAATTACAAAACTGTTTAGAGAAGATACGAAAATCAAGAAAAATAATTCAGAAACAATGGATAAAATAAGAAAAATCATAGCAGAGAGAAAAACACGGGAATATAAACGTAGGGACTGAGGTATGCGTATCTAAGCTATATATATAAAATGATGCATGAAATTAAACACCATCGAGCTACTTGTAGCAATGTTTTTTTTTTCTTTGTTTGTTTCTTGACGTCACTTGTAATTTATATGTCTGGCTCCTCATACGTATTATATTTATTAGTGGCTTTTCGTTGGTCTGTCCGTATGGCCAGCTTTAGACGAATATGTAAACGGTAGCTTATTATAAAGCTTTTTCTATGATTTAGAAACAGCCTTTTTGTAAAGTGTTTGAATCCAATGTAGTTATATAAAACCATGTAGTTACAAGAATTATAATTCAATGCTATATAGAATGAAATAGGTAAACGAAATGTAATTCACACAGAAACCTTGTGGCTATTATTTGGTATAGTCCTGTATTCTTCTCGCATTTTTGTATATATGAGAAAAGCTTCAAAGCTTCGACTACTTATTTCAGAGTTCTTGAGTGACCACTGACCGCTACAAATGTTCGTAACAAAGTAAACAATACTGATTCCTGTCACATACTCTGGTGGATTTATGAATTACACCAAAAAAATATATTGGATTTAAGATATTCCATGCCTATGACACAAGGTTTTGTACCAATATTGGACAAAAAAAAATACCAATATTGGACTTATGATATTCGTTCGTAGTTCAATTTGTCAAAACATTCAGGAAATTTTACATATGTGAGAAATGAAGGATCAATAATTAAAGAATTGGGTCCCAAGAGCTCACATGATCTCTGAAAGTCATGTCCAATCCATCTCTCAAAATTTGCAATAAGGTGGTTGACAAGACTTCTGTTTTTTTCTTTGTTTTAGGGACAAGACTCCTCTTTGAGAATTGAGAGTTGACGCTTAAAATGCTACAAAATAATAAATATACAAAACTATAAACGACTACTTATCCAGTGGCACTACTCCCAACTTGAAAGTCTTGTATGCAATGTCTTTGGACTAAAACCGGTATATATATGATAATATATTATCATACACTAGATCATAATACTGAGTATATTAAATACTTTTTCATGTGCTTGTTATTAATATTAGATAGAAAGATTACACCATTTGAGATACATATGTGGCCATCGGAATCTTTATCAAAACTGATTTAACATACAGATTGTCCAAAAGAGAGAGACATGGCCTTGCAAAAGAAACACTAACTAGCATCAAACAAACTACTTTGACTGACTTAAGCCAGAATCCAAACTCTAGCCTTAACAAATGTACCAAGTAATCATGAGAGAAAAGGAAGGATGATATTGATCTAAACCAGAAGCACCGTAAAATCCTCTAAACAAGCTATATATGCAAATGTTATGCTGTTTGGTGTTTGTCGTTAGTACTAACTGATGTCCATAACTTGAAAACACATATATAAACTTGAACCGAACTTGCATAGTACTCTTTATGTGAAGAAGTCTAAGGAACCAATGATTTGAGAATAGTGGTTAGGTTAACTATCATTGATATTGCTATGTGTTTGTGTTTTTTTCCAACCAAATTGACTGGAATTGCATGATGAGGGAACATGTGGGTGGGTATAAGGGCATTAATCATTATGGAGTGAGTGTCATCAAAATAATTTTAGAATCTGTACAAGGAAACATACCCTACTTTTCGACCCATTCATCTCCTCTTCAGTTTGGTTTCAATTTTTAAAAAAATTAAATGCTCTTCAACTTCGAATCATTGTGATAAAAGTTTCTTATCTTTCAATCAGTGTTTGGTAAGCATGGTGTATACAAATAACATCAAATCTAGTTTTACTCAATCTGTCAAATGTTATTAACTTCATGATAACTAATTAAAATTTATATTTACTAAATTAATATTTATGCAGTTTAAAATAAAACTAATTAAAATTTGATGGAATGGTAAAAGGAGTTATTAACTTCTAAGTCTAATGAACAAACATAATACATATTAACAAATATTTAAAACTGAAAAGAACTATTTCTATTTATTATTTTATATATATATATATATATATATATATATATATATTCTTGATCATCATGCGTAATTACTCAGAAGAATATTTGAGAACAATTACACAACTCTTATCTTGTTTATGTAAAAAGAAAAACTCTTATCTTGTTTAAGATATTAGAGGTTGTTGAACAAAAAAAAAAATATTAGAGCTTATGATATAAGGGGCATGTGACTGAATTCGATGAAAAAACAGTATAAATAAATACATAAAATCCACATGCAAAGTTGGTTTGAGTGAACCTTTTCCCCTCTTCTAATGAAACGTCACATCTTCATTTCCACTTTCATGAAATTCAAACTAGAGACTGGGAGAAAACAAAATCTAAATATATATTGCATGTGGTTAGATAACAAAGCTTTAGAATGATTCCAAATTTACAAAACCATACCGTGTTTAACCTCGTCGAATGTCTTACTTATACTAACCTTTGCTGCATCCGAAAAGGTCCACTCTCATTTTGAAATCGAACCATGTGACAAAGATACAACCTTGTTGCATTTTTAATAGAGAAAACTATATGTATTTTGCATCTTCAAAGAAAATCTCTGTAAGGAATTTAAATAACAATATTATTAATCAAATCATGGCATCTGTTAATGAATCAAGTTAGCTATATCACAATAGTCATCAACAGAAAAATCATTTACAATATATTTTAACCTCGTAGGCCCACCAAAATATGAGGTCTTAAAGCATCGTCTCCAACTCCAGCTACATTTGCGATGTTCTTAGATGATTTATTCATGGGCTTCAGGTCATAATCAGAAATCTCGTGATGAAACGTTACTGTAAAACTAATCCTTCATCTAAATTGTAAAATACTAGCTAATTGAAATCTAAAATTTTCTTTCCTGATATTTGCGTCTAAAATGTATAATTTGAATAGTAGTTTAACAATTTGGACCCATTAGGATTGATGGATGAAAATTTGGGCCTATTAGGATTGGTGTTTGATGAGGTGTTCCAAACATTACATGAATATTTCGAGAATGTGATGAGTTCATCCCATATTTCTTGGAGTATGAATGGTCGAGCAGACGCGCTAGCAAAAGAAACAAAAACCAGAGATTATATCTTTTCTCATATAGATCAGATCCGGCTAAACCGAAGTGCTCCTCTAAGAATCGGCTCGTCTGACCACCATTTGATCAACCATAGATAGGCAGTTTCACAAAAAAAAAAGGACTGGTCGATGAACAATCTGGGCTTGAAACTCTTGTTAATGAGCCCAGAATGAGAGAATCTCTATATCTTAAAGAGTTTGCCATTGGTTTACAATCTGTTGTACTTGTTCAAGAGATCAGTCATATCAGTTTACATTTGCTCAACAAAGCCATACATATTACTAAATCAACATCTGATACAAAACCAAAACCCCTTCTAAATTATGCCATATATAAACTATATCTATATGTAAATAAAAGCCTGAATCCCACTTTATAATGCAAGAGTAATCCCAAGTAAGTACACCCTCATGTCAAATGGAATATACAAACACAGACCACAACCACTTGACCGGTTTGGTTAATCAAAGTTTGAGCTGATTAGGAAGAGAGTATTCTCGAATGGTTATGCTCACCTTCATAAGTCACAATTAACATCGAAGTTTCTTCTACACATCGTTCAACATGCTTCCTTGCTGGACAACCTCGTATACTGCTGCATTTATAATATCCCCTGTAACAAGAAGCAACGTTATAATAAAACCAAACATATGAACCAGTCCAATGGCTTAAACATGTAATAATATTACTTACCTAGGATGAGGAGAACCTTTTATTGGCTTTTGTCCGTACTTCCTCCATGAATATTCATCCGGAGGTATATCAGCAATCTTGTTACTAATTGCTGGTACTTTTATTGATCTTCTCACTCTCAACTTCCTGTAAAGAACCAAACATTACATAACACAAAAGAATCAAACAAACACTTTTTTTTTTCTCAAGTAAGAAAATAAAAACCAACACACACCTTTTCTTGGAGCAATGGCATTTGCTCCTACCTCCACATTTTAAACTACCAGAGCAGCTTGTCCTCCTTGAATGCTGGGAGATTTGATCTGATCCTTGAGGTAATCCGATCAAATGAAACGAGTTTCTATTGTAATCCGTAACACTAGCATCCATACTAAGAGATGAAACAAAAGATCTTGATCCGTTTGAGACACTAGGGGAATAACAACTACTCCCACCAGGCCCATCAAACTTCAGACTTAAACCACTATTGCTCCGAGAGTACACTCCTTGCTGGTGGTTACGGATAAACTTAAATGGGTTTTGATCAACAGCTCGAGAGGAAGGTGGCTTTAGCTCCAGAAAGGACTTGTCAACACACATTTTCTGGTTAAGCATCATAGGTGGAGGATGAGCCTGTCTCTGTTCACTATAACTAGGAGCAACAGGTGGTACAATCTGAAGAGGCTTTGGTGCTAGAATTGGAATACAACCACTTATAGCATTGTTACTACAAACAGGACTTTCCAAGAAGATGTGTTGGGGAAACATATGAGAACTAAGCTTGTAGTAGTTGTTGTTGAGTTTCTTAATCTTCCTTTGACCTAACCCACTAGACAAAAGAGAGGTAACTCTCTTAAACTTGGAAACAGCTTCTCTAGTTTCAACCACTATGGATTTTGGATCATTGTTTTGTTGTGACAAGAGATTCAAGACTCTATGACAGCTCTCCACTGCTGCTTTGTTTGCAGCTTCAACTTCCTCCATTTTTCTTCTACACAAAGCTTCAGAGGAAAGAAACAACAAAAAAAAACCCTAATATCTTCTAAATGCAAACTCCTAAACACTCCCCTAACAAATCTTACTGTAAGAAGAAAGAAGTACAAATGTTATGACTTACTTTCTCCATCTAAGAGGAAGATGTTCTTTCACTAATATTCCCTCAGCGACATTATAATACAAAGCTTTCTTTCTGCTTTGTCACTATTATTTTAAATATTTTAAAAGGAAAAAAGCATAGAGGTGAGAGAAGAGAGAGTGAAGTGGAGTTGGGCCTGAGAGATGGTCGTCGCAGTCACAGAGGAAGGAGAGAAAAAAACAGAGTCCTCTGTAAAAGATTTCGTGGTTGGTCCCCACTACTGGACCTACTTCGCATCTACTTTTATTTTGATTGTGAAACTGTTATAAAGAAGTTTTGTTCTTTAAAATAAAAGAAAAGATATTTAATATAGAGAGTTTTTATCTTCAATATTTATATATATATGTGATAAAATAGTACTATAAAAATATCTCCATCTCTTTTAATACAAATGATGTTTTTGGCAAATCTATATATATTTAATTTTATAAAAATTGTGTAACCAAATATTTTTAATATGTTCATTTATCATTAAATAAATTAATTAAAGTCATATTTTAAAATCTAAATTTTTAACATTTATGCATTGATGTAAGTTGTCAGCCAACTTTTACAATTCTGCATATATTTTTTATATTTATGCATTGATGTAAAATTTAAAATAAAGATAGTTTTGATCCAATATATTATTTTATTTAATAGAGAAGTATTTATCAATTTGAGAAGAATTTGTTGAAATAATTTTTTATTGAAGAAAATCAGTCTGTCATTTTTTTATTTGAATCAAAATATTAACATGAATGTAGCTATTAAAAATAATATATATAGCATGATAATGTTACACCAAAAATGTAAATAAAATGAAACTTGGAACCTGTTGTAAATGGGCCCATGTTCCAGCTATGTATTCTTCAGAATCTCGAGCATGCAACTTGGGAAAACCACGGCTAAGATCACGACACGTACTCAAAGGTCTCTGTCTTCATCGTATCACGTGTAACTGGAATGTTGACTGAACATGCACTGTTGTCTGTTTCTTGTCTTATTTTGAAAATGAAAACTTTTTTTTTGATAAGAAAACTGGAAACTTTCTTAACATGTAACTGCATCAATCATATGTTGTATTCATTTTACATCTACATATAATACTAAAAACAATCAACTAATTTGTAAATTTATTGGAAAACAAAAATAGTGACAAATATTTCACATAAGAATTATAAAATCATCAAATAAAGTTTAAAGTTGTTTTAGATATTTTATACATTAAAATGGAGAGATTATGTAAGAATTAAAAGTGTAAATATCTTCATCTTTTAAGTTTTTTTTGTTTTCTATCTACCTTTTTTTGGGTGTCAATTTATCCCTTACAAAATTTTAAAAACGCGTCTAAGATATTTAATTCTATAAGGAAAAGAGTTAGCTACATGGTATAATCTTAAGATCGCCACCGGATATTTTCTCTGCGTTTATCGGACGATACATGTCTAGCATATAAGCATAATATACACAAAACACATGGTAACTAGTTAACTACACTGGTTATTATTCAATTTGCCTCTTCATTGCGCATCCCGAAAGAGTAAAACTACAATTAAGAAAAGAGTGAGCCCAAAGTGAGACACAGACATCGAGTTGACCCGGCAAAGATTCTCTTTGCCTCTCTTGTCATGAACTGTTTGTTTCTCCACACTACAGTATCGAAAAGAGTTTATCTTGTTTGTTAGCTGTTTCAATTTTTTCATCCATTAGTAAATAAATATACTTTGAGCAGTGACATATGTTTTGCCTTATGACTACGATTTATTTTCACTAGTTTTTTATTTGTGTAGAGTCTAACTATAAGTAAAATAAAATAAAATAGAAGTTCAACATTTGTATGGTCGAAAGCATTGAAAGCAATATTTTCTATGTATTCTAGTCGTTTTCTTTGTCGTTGTGTGTTCGTCCACTACTCGTTAGGTCAAGTAGGCATGCCGGATTCGTTTTCGTCAATTTTCACACCTACAAAGCCACTATCATCATCACACTAGATTAGCCTACTCCACCTCTTAAAATTTTCGATTAGTATATTCGTTTTCTAATACTAATACGTGGAGCGCGTCCAATAAGGTTCTCGAAACCGTCGAAAACATTAGGAGCAAAAGCCAAAGAGCAAATCAATTATTTGGTTGACAATAATCTTCCTGACGCATGGAGCTTTTTCATCTTTTTAAATTCGGATATCGTATCAAGCCCACGATGTGTATCTTATCACCATTCCTTTCTTTGATCTCACTCCTATCCAATCATGTACATGTATGTCACATATGTGTCCATGTGCAACTCTAATAATGACGTGCGCCGTATCGTGAAATTGGTTGTATTTAGTTAGAAAATCAAACTATAATACCAAGTTGAGTTCTCCTATTAGAATGACGTTTGTTGAATATCTGGGAAGATCGATTCTATACTTCATAAAAATAAATATTGTTAGTACCTAGTGATGTTGTATATGAATCAAGTGAGGGTGGTTTAGTGGTCTTGAGGGAACTTCGGTTCCAATATGGATTCGGATTCAAATCATGTTGGTCATTGGGGTAAAAATTTAAAATCTGGGTTTCTCCAGCATCCGATGATCGAGGTGTACTTTGTTCGATAATATAGACTGATACGAACTCTCACCACTAGTCTGGATACATCTTAGTCGATGCCAGAATACACCAGATTATTTTTTTTTTAAAAAGATGTTGTATATGTGGAACATGGATTATAGTACATATTTGGGAAGATTGAATGCTACAATAGTTTTGACATTAAGATGTGCAATATTTCTTTTAAACGCATAAAGTGCATAATATATACCTGTACTAGTATAATGAAACATAGGATGATTGTAAAGCTAATAAATACATAAAAATGAATTTAGTACCATCGTCCACTTTGGTAGTGACCTTTGGTTCCACATCCACTATGGAATGTGAATATGATCCCCAACAACATAATCATTGAGCCATTATATAGTATACAAACACTACCATATAAAAATATATGTATACAAAGGTAGCTAGTTCTAGCCAGTCTGCAAAATATGTTGGTTTAAAAGTACATGATATTTTAGATATTTTTCCTTAGCCTATGAGAGTTATGAACATTCACCAACCATATGAGTATATGTGATTTTTGTTATATGCTTACAAATAGAGAGGAACCAACCAAACTCTCTCTGCCTAAAAGCTTCTTTGCTCTTTACAAAATGTTTTGCAAAATATAAAACATTTTGTCTTGGGCTTCATAGCGCAATCTGATAGAATTCAATCCAAAAGGCGAAGTGTATTTTACAATCATTGTAAGGCTTATATCCAACCCAAAATAACGTCGAGAACAAAAACATTTATTTACCAAAAATCCAATGGCCTTATGCTAAAACTTCTGCATATCTTACTTGCTAACTTTTGAACGAGAAAATGTTTCCTCTTAAGGCTACTTCAATTTTCTCTAATTATAAACTAATTTAACATATAGAAGGGGAAAACTATTTAAACTTCTAACTCCAAACCATTATACAATATTCTTGATAACATATAACAACATATAGATATATAACTTTACAAATGTTTTTGAGTTTTAATTAATTAATAAAACCACAAGCAAATTAAAAAGAAAAGAAAGATACTGTATAGTTTTTTTTTCTTTTGTCTATCACATGACACAAAGAAAATAAAATAATGAAAAAAACGTTTTCATATCAAGAATTGTGAAATTACCTTTATCGCCCTTTAGGATTTACAATTTGAGAAAATATCCCACTATTTTCTTCCGAGGACAAGTCACTGACGTCATGTTCACCGGCGCTAACGTTAACCGCCGTACCTCCACCGCCNTTTTTTTTCTTTTGTCTATCACATGACACAAAGAAAATAAAATAATGAAAAAAACGTTTTCATATCAAGAATTGTGAAATTACCTTTATCGCCCTTTAGGATTTACAATTTGAGAAAATATCCCACTATTTTCTTCCGAGGACAAGTCACTGACGTCATGTTCACCGGCGCTAACGTTAACCGCCGTACCTCCACCGCCAAGATCCTCAGAACCACTGCCATGACTAGGCGTCCTACGACGCGTTCCATCAGCAGTTTCTTGCACCTGAAGCGCAAACTCAAGATTCCACAACACATCTCCCATGGACGGCCTATCCAACCCACTGTCCGAGAGACACTTCTCCGCCGTGTCGGCAAACTTCTTCAAACACTCCGCATTAATCTTCCCTTTCAAGTTAGGATCAATAATATCATCAAGATTCCCTTTCTTTTTACAGTTCAACGCCCAGTCTCCAAGACTCACTTGCTCCTTAGGCAAGCTAGGGTTTAAAGCCGGTCTAGCACATAAGATCTCAAACAACACAACTCCAAAAGAGTACACATCTGACTTCTCCGTTAGTTGCTGTCTCCTAAAGTATTCAGGATCTAAATACCCGAAACTTCCTTTAACCACGGTCGAGACGTGACCTACTCCGTTAATATCCGGTCCGGTTTTGGATAAACCGAAATCAGAAACTTTAGCAACCCAATTCTCATCTAACAAGATGTTTGTTGTCTTCACGTCACGGTGAATGATAGTGTACTTTGCACCCGTGTGGAGATAATGCAACCCTCTTGCGGAACCAATAGCTATCTCCAGACGTCGCTTCCAAGTTAACTGAGGTCTCTTGGTGTTGTATAGATGCTCTCTTAGGGTTCCGAGTGACATGTAGTCGTAGATAAGACACATCTCTCCACCGTCGTCGCAGTAACCTATCAAGGAGACTAAGTGTTTGTGTCTTAATCTTGATAAGAGTTCAATCTCTGTCTCGAACTCGTTGAGACCTTGTTCTGAGTTAGGGTTTGATTTCTTGATAGCCACTTTTGTTCCTCCGTCTATAACACCTTTGTAAACTTTACCAAACCCTCCAACTCCAATGACGTTAGACTCATCGAAGTTTTGAGTCCCGTGTTTGATTTCAGACAAGGAGAATCTTCGGCATAGACCAGCTGCTAAGTTAGATAAGTGGCTTCCGTTGTTGCTCTTACCGGATATAGTAGAAGTATGTGAGTTTCCATATAAAGGAAGCCAGCTTGACGTGTAAGAATGATCACTTCCTTGGAACTTACGTTTCCTTTGATACATTGTGAAACACAATGCACATAGTAAAACCGCTGCTACTCCACCAGCTGAGCCAATGACAAAAGCTGTGACTCTTTTGTCACCTCGAAACTCTTTTTTAGCATCTTCGTTTGCTTTCATATCAGATGGTTTAGGGTTTGGACCCGCGAGGTTCTTCATTGTGTCCATCTTGAATATCTCTAGCCCGTTGAGCTGTGAGTCTAGGTACTCTGGTTTATCAAATGTTGAAGGAGTCATCTGAAGTGAGACCTCTTCTCCTCCTGGTCCTCCGTTGTTAGTATCAATGTACATTGCGTAGTCTTTGTACGTTGGGATACCTTTACCTCCAGACCATGCTATTATATCAGCGGCTGTTGTGTCGGCTTGTGCGGTTCTGTTGTTGATGTATATGTTGAAAGCTTTTTGGTTGATTTTTGAGAGTTGGAACTCGCAGAAATGGAGTCTCATGATGTATGTGAAGTTTGTATCAACTTGAAATACCCATGTTAGGTTTGATTTCACGTTGATATCTCCGTTAGGTCCCTGTTATAATAATATGAAATTAACTTGAATATAGTAAAGAACAATTGATAGAGATTGGAAGAGATAATTATATTCCCAAAACCTTTACTATTGTGGTCACATAGTTTATATATAACAAAGACTTGATTTACTTAAAAAGCTAAATATAATTAACTTGTTAGGAAGCTAAAAGATACTCATTAAGTTTCACAAAGATGAACGTTTTGAGATGTCAAAAAAAAAAAAAAAGATAAACGTTTTGAAAAGGAAAAAAAATGGTTTCACAAAAAATAGTTTTTAAAAGTTTTTATGCATATTTAATGAGTTAAAAGAAACAAATTATTAAATTTTAAAAGTTTCGATTAATACAATTAATATAAAAGTTTTTGTAAGTTGGGTTTTATACACAAAGCAAGATACTCACTATCATATATTAATTATTTCTTAATATATGTGCAAAAGTCTAAAAAAATATATTATTGTGAAATGGAGGGAGTATTAAAATATTCTAAATATCTTAGTACCTGTGATCGAGCTGTTTTGTAGACATCAGCTGGAGCGGTAGAGACCGGCATTTTCTGGTAATCAATCCTGAAGTTGTCGCTTGCTTGAAGGGTAACACCAAGACCAGCACTGAAAATGTAAGGAGCATCATTGTACCATGTCCTTGTTAACCCACCAGAGTCTTTACTTCCAGGAATATCTTGACCACCAACATTAACCCTAAACATTGTCTGAAGATTCGCGGCCTTAACATCAGCTGTCTGGTCCGTGAACCCAACAAGAACAGCCGTATCAAACAGTTCAGGCATCTCAACGACCTCAATACCGTTTATGAAAGCAAAAGCCTTAGGATGTTTATCAGAAGGAGTTAACGTGATGGTCAAGACATCTTTTAGGGTTGGTGCAAGAGAATATTCTCTAACCAGGTAAGCTTGTGTTAGGGCTTGACATGTGATGGACGCACTAAAGTTGGTTAAGAGGGTAACATCGTTAGCTGCTACGGAGAAGTAAGAGTCGTCAATGTTGAGTCCTGTGTATGTTGATGGGTAGAAATGTAAACGGAGCAAAAGTCTTTTGTCTCCTTTAACAGGGATCTCGTAGGTCGCAGGAGCTGTGAAGATTCTTGCTGTCATGTAAGGGATTGTTGAGAGAAGTGAAGGGTCTTGATAAGTAGCTGTTGCCTGAACCGTGTTTTGTGTTTTCAAGAAGTTGGTGTCTGGTTCCCATTTTTTCTTGTCTGGATCAGTAGATGGTTCTGTCGCTCCACAGCCCAACGCAAAGTCTTTGGCGTTAGATTGAGAAGGAGAGACGAGAAGAACGTAGAAGAAACAGATGAGGGAACACAGATTCCGTGTTTTCTCGTTCATGGCTGAAACATAAAGACAAGTTTAAATTCTGATGAAGTGATTAAACCAATGTTCAAGAAATCGTCAGACGATAATTCTGCGTTTTATAAGAGGATGCTTAGGAAAGTGACGCCTAGATCGATATAAGAAAAACATTTTAAAAAAATTGTTTTGTTCATGACCTATCCGTTTATACCGAATTTTAGAACATTAATTGAGACATAAGAAAATGGCTTTTCTTTGTAACCTGTTACCTTAAGAACCAGCAGAGAAAACTGGAGGCTTGTTTCTTCTCCTCTCTGTAACCTAACAATGTATGATCAAAGCCATGGAAACAAAAGCAGAAACCTCAACAAGACAAAAGGTTATTGGTTTTTTCTCATTTTTCGGTGTTGTGTCGGAAAGAGAAACAGAAAGTAGTTAAACAATCTATGGTAGAGAGGATTAATCGAGAAAGCTATGTTTAGCAAATTGGTTAGAAGAGGAAAAATATATACGTTTGAATTGTTTTTGACGTTGATGAAATGAAATTCATGGATACACATTTTAAGCGAAATATACATAAATTCTTAAATCTATACTATTATTTACAATTTTGCATCTGAACTCTCAGGTTGAAAGTAGAATATTTAATATCGTTTATACTTTTAGTAAATAAAATCTAATAATTACCCAAAAAATAAAAATAAATTAAAATTTATTAACTTAGATAAGTGATTAAAATTAATAATAATAAGAATGATCCAAAATAAAAGTTAATTCCTATATATATTGTGTCACTATCTGAAAAATATATGTTAATAAAAGGTTACAAATTCAAATAAAGAAAATAAAAACTAAATATTAATTAAGTTAGTTCAACCTCTCACGTTGAAAACTAGAGTGATTAATATATTTTATGTCGTGATGAATAACATATATAAATAATCCAAAAATTAAATTTAATTTAAACTTTATTTATTTAAATAAATTATTAAAATTAATAATAATAAGAATAATCCAAATAAATATAATTCTCATATATATTGTCATTATCTGAAAAATATATGTTAATAAAAAGGTTAAAAACTCAAATAGAGAAAATAAAAAACTAAACATTTAGTTATTAATAATTAATACAGTATAGTATACAATTAGTGTTATTGGTTTGTATATTTTAATGGATTTAAAAATCCATATTAAATCTAGTGTTATTGGTTTTATGGTTTTAAAATCTATACCAAATATAGTGTTATTGGTTCTATAATTGTAAATTAGATTTTGAAATCATGTGTTATTCAATAACAAGGATTTGTATATGAATTTGATTTCAAATTGGATTTCCATGGATTTTTAAGATCAAAATACAAAGGAGAAATTACTGAGATAAACCTTGTTATTTTGTTAGATTTGTATTATTGTTTTTTTTTAGGTCTATAATCAAAACATTTTCAGTTTATGCAAAGAACCACACCACCTAGAACTAAATATCATCCTTAACATTAATTATATTTACTCAGTCATTTTCCTCAAGACTTTATAAAAAATCATTAAAAAATAGAGTAGCAAGTGTAGCATGCGAAATTAGTTTTGATCGTGTTACTCCGGAAAAAACTTTCAAAGAATCAGAGTACCAAGTTTAGCAGATGAGTTGATACATGTGGCACCAAAAAAACATACGAACTTGAATATCCAAGCACTAGATTTGTTTGCGATTTGTTTGCGAATAGCAAGTTACTTTAAGCTTAACGTTCTGATTCACATTCTTATCAACTCTAAATGTAACATGCTTAGACATCTACCAATAAATCTCTTTCACATGGAAAAATGTTCTCCCGCTTGCATCTTCACAAGTAGGTCACAATTCTCGTAAATCTATTAGATTGATTTATAAAAATCTACCAATTTGGTTTTAAAATCCATCTGAAATCCAGTTATTTGATTTGAAATCAGTATATGAATCAAAGATTTCCAAATCCAATTATATTTATAAATCTACCAAAATATCAAAACCAATAACCCCTACATTTTCAAACAAAATAAATTTCCAAGGAAACATAAATAATAATTTATCAACATAATATTTTAAATAATATATATATTAATAATGATTATAAAATACATACAGTTCGATATATGTGGACAAAACACTTAGTTTTAAAATAAAGGGATAGTGTTGTAAGTTGTAACAATTGATGTACACGAAATACTTTGTGCTTAACAATGGGAACAGAGAATGCTGAGAGCTTTTCCAATCTTCCTCGTTACTTCTCTCAACAACAAAAGCTAACTTACATAAACAAATACTATCACACGCACCGACGGACGGTTCCAGCTTTACTATCCAAACTCCTAACTATGCATGTCGCGGTTCCTATAGACTAGTATTTGTGTTTTGCTTCCTCATATTAGTATTCTTCAACTCAAATACATGCATGGTTGGTTCTGTGTGGCCAATGGGCTCATTATAACACTGTTGCGATTTTGCATGGCCTAGATCAATTCCCTCTTTTAGTGTTAGCAAGTCTTCTCCCATGCTGTTCATTGACTCCGATGGACTGATCCTTAACAATTCTTCCAAATTCCAGTGTTGTATCAGCGACTCTAATAATTCTAATATTAATTTAAGATAAAACTTTTCAAATCAAAGGGGATGATTGGTTGGGCTTTAACTAGTTACTTTAGTTTTATTTTCTATCTACAACCATATAAATCACCAATCATGTTTTAACTAGCTAAAGTAAAAAAATTTTAAAAATGGTTGTAGGAGCCTCATTTTCTAAAGCAAAAAAAATACTGTTGTAAGATTGCTGTAGGAATATCTTTTTTTTTTCATTTTTTCTCATTTAATTTCTATAGCTACATTAGATATAGTTACATTCAAAATTTCTACAGTAAAATTTCTACAGTTACAATCCAACCAATCGCCCCCAAAGTAAAATATATTCTGGTAGACGTCCGATTTTTTTATTCACAATATGTTCTAAAAGTATAATTCCTTAAATTTAGAAAAATATTAATTATTTGATTACACACATTATAAAAAACGATTAAGATGACATATATTCGTTAACGTAGGCCCTAAATCGGTTGTAAGTGAAATAATTTTTCTACAGCAATTTTTTTTAAAAAAATTGGTCTAGACGTCATTTAGATGTTCGACTAGAAGATAATCTTTTTCAAAGTGTCTAATTATCATCTAACTTTGAATATTGGTTACATAAAACAATTCGCTGGCCAGTTTCATTTCCTATTTTTAACACACTGCCATACATGAATTTTCTTCAAAATTGCTCATAAACGTAAATCCAAATTGAAATGATCTAAATGATTATATTTAATTAATATATTTTGTATCTTATCTTTGGATTTCTTGTTTTTTTTTCCCAAACGATTATGAAACATTCTCGTTCAGCACAAGAAAATAAAAATTCAAAACAAAACACAAGAAAAATAATAATAAGAAAAAGACTATTGTTTTGGATCCCCGTTCCAGTAATAACATATATCAAAAGCATCAGTTGCTTGGTTGAACCTGCATGGCCCATCTTTGCTTATATCCCAGAAACAGTAGATACAAGGAATACCCCTATGAACACCATCTCTGATATCATCATATATATAAAAGTGTGTTGAGTGTCCTCGAGGCCATGTGAAATGACAATAAAATACTGTCGTCCCCCAAATATTTGGTCTAAACGTAAATGACCATGACCTATTCGGAGCTACAATTTTGAGACCGAGATCGTCGTCTGAGGACTTACAGTGGAGATTTAATGTCGAACCATCACCGAGGCGATTTGTTATCCTCACTATTGATTTGAGAGTAGAGATGTTTGGATGAACATCTGAAGCAACGGTTTCAGCTTGTAAGAGAGCTATTTGGATGAGTAGAGATATTATTATTGTCACAAGAACTTGAGTTCTTTCGATATTAGCCATTTTGTTTTAAGAATTGAATGTTGTGAATGATATTTGTTTCTTCTGCATTGGTATATATAGCAAGTCTTCGATGAGATGTACATGATGACATTGATTTTGTTCCAAATTATAATTGGTGAAATACATTGTATTGTGTTACAAAAAAAAAGAAAATAAAATAATACATTGTATATGAAACATAGGAACATTCATGATTTGCTAGATGTTGATCCAGGTTTTCAAAGTGCAAAAATATTTTTTATGGTAACATTTTATTAAATAAATATTGCACATAATATAATTTATGTAATTTTAATTTGTATGCATAATTCCTTTTATGTATGTTAGTTTTGAGAAGAATTATGATGTGCGTTACACATATTAATTTGTGCGTATTGAATTCATGTATTGAAACAAAGGAATATTTATGTATGTTAACTGTTAGTGTTTTTGGACAAGAATTATGATGTGCGTTAATAATCGCTATACATATTTGTGATGTTTAAACACATTTATTGAAACAAAAGTAATATTAATGGTTTATGGTTGAAAAATAAAAACCTATATTTACGCATGTCCATTCAAAGTTGGAATAGTCTTCTATTATAAGGTTTGCAATATGGATATCAATCTAAATTTGGTTCAATGTGTTCCGGTTTATTTCTAAAATTATGTTTATGAATAATAGTATCTAATGTAAAATCTGAATATGGTTAATTTTGTATGATTTCGGTTTAGAGTTTAATCAAATCTATCATTATTTTTCAAAGAAATTCAAGTTGTAGAAAGCTAACTAAAAAATATTCATATATAATTTCCTTATTCCAACCATAACAATATAGGTCAAATACATTTGATCTTTTGGTTAAATCTGCATGGTCTATTCTTGTTTATATTCCACGTATAGTTGATGCATGAATAACCCTTACGATCTCCATCCTTGTGACTGTAATCATCATAAATATCAAACGAATGCGTTTATCGAACCCATATAAAGCTCCAATAAAAGAGTGCCGTTCCAAAAATATTTGGTCTAAAATCAAATGATCAACAACTATCGGTAGGCCTAGGCATATTATCCATAATCCGAAACCGATGCCGAACCGAAAAACCCAAACTCA